CCCCAAAACCCCAAAACCCCGTAAGGAATATTGAACCTAAAAATTGACTGTAATTTATTAATAAAAGTATAAAAATAATGTCAATGAAATTGATTTAAATGATCTGAGATATTATAAATATTTATTTAAATGGATTCATCAAATATTTCCAACAAAAATCAAGCTAATACATTCTAGAATAATCACGAGTCTATAAATAACTCTGATGAAAGTTATCATTAGATGGAAAAATTCAGGAGAGAAACTCATAATTAAGAGATTAGTAATTAATCTTATTTTGATTTCAATAACTCAATAGGTAAGCTCTTTTCTAATTAATCTTAATTTGGATTAGCAAATAGTACAATGAAAGATTTTTTAAGCAATGAAGATATTGATTAAGATGATGATGATGGCTTAGTTCTAAAGCATAAGATTGGAAGCATAAATTTAATCTTAAAATAGGGAGATATCACTTTAGAGAAAGTTGATGCAATAGTTAATGCATCAAATGAAAATCTCAAACATATTGGAGGATTAGCAGCAGCTATCGTAAAAAGAGGAGGACAAAGCATATAAATTGAATCTGACTTGAAAACTTAAGATAATAAATCATTCCCTGCTGGGAGTGTAGTTCTGACTAAGCCTGGATCTCTTAAATGCAAAAAGATCTTTCATGCTGTTGGTCCTTATTATTCCGAATTAAGAGATAAAGATAGTTGTGAAAAACTCGAGAAAACTTTTAAGAAATGCATAAGAACTGCTAACCTATTAAAATTTAGTTCAATTGCAATTCCTCCAATCTCAACCGGCATATATAACTTCCCCAAGTAGGAATGTGCTAAGATATTATTCGATGTGATAGAAAAATACTCATAAGTAGAAGAATTCGCTAACATATATTTGACAAAGATAAAGATTGTAATAATTGACTAAATGAATTTTGATATCTTCGAAAAAGAATTTATAAAAAGATATTATGAAGAAAAAGGAGATAAGACAATAAATGAAAATCATAGAAGAAAAGAAACTGTTAATAATATAAATTAAAGACTCAGAAACAATTGTTAGAAAGAAGAAGAGAAGAAAACTGGAAACTAGGAAAATTTGAAATTAAGTTCTTCCTTAGTTGCAAAAGATTTCGATTTGCTTCAAATTAAAGATACCGAAGAAAATAATAAAACTAATGCCTCAAATCAAATTCTGAGCAAAAGACAAGCTCCATCTATTAATTGTATTATAAATATCCTAACCTTATTAAATTTAGAGACCATAATTTTAAGCTGTAAGCATTGCAAGGTTTTCAAATGCTAAATTAGAGATGATATGAATTTCCACGAAAGACAAGATTGCCCTGAACTTCCAATAAAATGTTAGAATTGTAACGCAGAATTCCCATTATCCATAATCGTAAGTACTATTTATTATTTTAAAATTATCAATAAATGATTTCTAAGGAATTTCATCACGATCATTGTGAAAGAAGATTGATCAAGTGCAATAAATGCCAAGTAGAAATTAGATATAATGAATTAAAAGATCATAACTATGCACATAACTTACAAGACTAATAATAACAGAGTGAATGACTTATTACTAATTTATTCTAAGGACACGTCTAGAATTCTGTTTTGCCTATTTTGAACTAATAAATTAACAATTAAAATGGTCTTCAAAATTTATAGCATTAGAGGATTCCTGCTAATCAAAATAGAGGAGCCCGAGATTATCAAAGATAAGGAAATGAATATGGTCTTGAATTTAATAGAGAAAGATTACAAATAAATCGCCCAGGTTTTGGATTTAGTATAGGGTAAATGATTAGTAGATTATTACCAATGTAAAATTCTGGAAATGGATTTAATCAGAGTGAAATTGATAATTTAAGGAAAATTAAATATAAACCTGATATGAAAGGCTCTAATTAAGTTGAAGATAAATGTTCAATCTGCCTTGAAAATTATACTGAAGGAGAGGATATAATCTTTTTGTCATGCTCGCACAAATTACATTTGAATTGCGGAAGTGATTGGTTAAAGCAAAAGTCTAAATGTCCTGTATGCTTATGCGAATAAAAATGAACCGATTTGAAGTTGATAAGATGACCTATACTAATTTTATTATCTAAAAGATTAATACAACCTCTCTGAGTCATAAAAATATAATTGCTACCTATTTCTGTTAATCATTAATATCTTTAAGCTTTATTCTTTGAAACTTAGCTTTAATTATCATTATTAAAATAGTTGAAATTCATCATTATTACTTAATTTCATTGTATTTCTTATATTCGGGGTTTTGGGGTTTTGGGG